ACGGTGATACTAACTCTAACATTATCGGGAGATAGGTTAATTTTGCAGGAACTATACTGATTTGGTAATTCACCGTGTTTTTCTATGATGGGCTTTGTATAAGTTTAATTTTTGCTTGTATACATTTGTTGGTTGTGTAAAACTCTTTGAACTATATTATACGGTGATACTAACTCTAACATTTTCGGAGATAGGTTAATTTTGCAGGAACTATACTGATTTGGTTAATTCACCGTGTTTTTCTATGATGGGCTATGTATAAGTTTAAATTTTTGCTTGTATACATTTGTTGGTTGTGAAAAACTCTTTGAACTATATTATACGGTGATACTAAATCTAACATTATCGGGAGATAGGTTAATTTTGCAGGAACTATACTGATTTGGTTAATTCAACTTGTTTTTCTATGATGGGCTTTGTATAAGTTTAATTTTTTGCTTGTATACATTTGTTGGTTGTGTAAAACTCTTTGAACTGTATTATACGGTGATACTAACTCTAACATTATCGGGAGATAGGTTAATTTTGCAGGAACTATACTGATTTGGTTAATTCACCGTGTTTTTCTATGATGGGCTGTGTATAAGTTTAATTTTTGCTTGTTTACATTTGTTGGTTGTGTAAAACTCTTTGAACTATATTATACGATGATACTAACTCTAACATTATTGAGAGATAGGTTAATTTTGCAGGAACTATACTGATTTGGTTAATTCACCGCGTTTTTCTATGATGGGCTGTGTATAAGTTTAATTTTTTGCTTGTATACATTTGTTGGTTGTGTAAAACTCTTTGAACTATATTATACGGTGATACTACTCTAACATTATTGAGAGATAGGTTAATTTTGCAGGAACTAATACTGATTTGGTTAATTCACCGCGTTTTTCTATGATGGGCTGTGTATAAGTTTAATTTTTTGCTTGTATACATTTGTTGGTTGTGTAAAACTCTTTGAACTATATTATACGATGATACTAACTCTAACATTATCGCGAGATAGGTTAATTTTGCAGGAACTATACTGATTTGGTTAATTCACCGCGTTTTTCTATGATGGGCTGTGTATAAGTTTAATTTTTTGCTTGTATACATTTGTTGGTTGTGTAAAACTCTTTGAACTATATTATACGGTGATACTAACTCTAACATTATTGAGAGATAGGTTAATTTTGCAGGAACTATACTGATTTGGTTAATTCACCGCGTTTTTCTATGATGGGCTGTGTATAAGTTTTTTTTGCTTGTATACATTTGTTGGTTGTGTAAAACTCTTTGAACTATATTATACGATGATACTAACTCTAACATTATCGGGAGATAGGTTAATTTTGCAGGAACTATACTGATTTGGTTAATTCACCGTGTTTTTCTATGATGGGCTGTGTATAAGTTTAATTTTTGCTTGTTTACATTTGTTGGTTGTGTAAAACTCTTTGAACTATATTATACGGTGATACTAACTCTAACATTATCGGGAGATAGGTTAATTTTGCAGGAACTATACTGATTTGGTTAATTCACCGCGTTTTTCTATGATGGGCTATGTATAAGTTTAAATTTTTGCTTGTATACATTTTGTTGGTTGTGTAAAACTCTTTGAACTATAGTATACGGTGATACTAACTCTAACATTATCGGGAGATAGGTTAATTTTGCAGGAACTATACTGATTTGGTTAATTCACCGCGTTTTTCTATGATGGGCTATGTATAAGTTTAAATTTTTGCTTCTTTACATTGGTTGGTTGTGTAAAACTCTTTGAACTATATTATACGGTGATACTAACTCTAACATTATCGGGAGATAGGTTAATTTTGCAGGAACTATACTGATTTGGTAATTCACAGTGTTTTTCTATGATGGGCTTTGTATAAGTTTAATTTTTGCTTGTATACATTTGTTGGTTGTGTAAACTCTTTGAACTATTTATATGGTGATACTAACTCTAACATTATCGGGAGATAGGTTAATTTTGCAGGAACTATACTGATTTGGTTAATTCAACTTGTTTTTCTATGATGGGCTTTGTATAAGTTTAATTTTTGGCTTGTATACATTTGTTGGTTGTGTAAAACTCTTTGAACTATATTATACGGTGATACTAACTCTAACATTATCGGGAGATAGGTTAATTTTGCAGGAACTATACTGATTTGGTTAATTCAACTTGTTTTTCTATGATGGGCTTTGTATAAGTTTAATTTTTGCTTGTATACATTTGTTGGTTGTGTAAAACTCTTTGAACTATATTATATGGTGATACTAACTCTAACATTATCGGGAGATAGGTTAATTTTGCAGGAACTATACTGATTTGGTTAATTCAACTTGTTTTTCTATGATGGGCTTTGTATAAGTTTAATTTTTTGCTTGTATACATTTGTTGGTTGTGTAAAACTCTTTGAACTATATTATACGATGATACTAACTCTATAACATTATCGGGAGATAGGTTAATTTTGCAGGAACTATACTGATTTGGTTAATTCACCGTGTTTTTTTATGATGGGCTGTGTATAAGTTTAATTTTTGCTTGTTTACATTTGTTGGTTGTGTAAAACTCTTTGAACTATATTATACGGTGATACTAACTCTAACATTATCGGGAGATAGGTTAATTTTGCAGGAACTATACTGATTTGGTTAATTCACCACGTTTTTCTATGATGGGCTATGTATAAGTTTAAATTTTTGCTTGTATACATTTTGTTGGTTGTGTAAAACTCTTTGAACTATAGTATACGGTGATACTAACTCTAACATTATCGAGAGATAGGTTAATTTTGCAGGAACTATACTGATTTGGTTAATTCACCACGTTTTTCTATGATGGGCTGTGTATAAGTTTAAATTTTTGCTTCTTTACATTGGTTGGTTGTGTAAAACTCTTTGAACTATATTATACGGTGATACTAACTCTAACATTATCGGGAGATAGGTTAATTTTGCAGGAACTATACTGATTTGGTAATTCACAGTGTTTTTCTATGATGGGCTTTGTATAAGTTTAATTTTTTGCTTGTATACATTTGTTGGTTGTGTAAAACTCTTTGAACTATATTATACGGTGATACTAACTCTAACATTATCGGGAGATAGGTTAATTTTGCAGGAACTATACTGATTTGGTTAATTCAACTTGTTTTTCTATGATGGGCTTTGTATAGTTTAATTTTTTGCTTGTATACATTTGTTGGTTGTGTAAAACTCTTTGAACTATATTATACGGTGATACCTCTAACATTATCGGGAGATAGGTTAATTTTGCAGGAACTATACTGATTTGGTTAATTCAACTTGTTTTTCTATGATGGGCTTTGTATAAGTTTAATTTTTTGCTTGTATACATTTGTTGGTTGTGTAAAACTCTTTGAACTATATTATACGATGATACTAACTCTAACATTATCGGGAGATAGGTTAATTTTGCAGGAACTATACTGATTTGGTTAATTCACCGTGTTTTTCTATGATGGGCTGTGTATAAGTTTAATTTTTGCTTGTTTACATTTGTTGGTTGTGTAAAACTCTTTGAACTATATTATACGGTGATACTAACTCTAACATTATCGGGAGATAGGTTAATTTTGCAGGAACTATACTGATTTGGTTAATTCACCGCGTTTTTCTATGATGGGCTATGTATAAGTTTAAATTTTTGCTTGTATACATTTTGTTGGTTGTGTAAAACTCTTTGAACTATAGTATACGGTGATACTAACTCTAACATTATCGAGAGATAGGTTAATTTTGCAGGAACTATACTGATTTGGTTAATTCACCGCGTTTTTCTATGATGGGCTATGTATAAGTTTAAATTTTTGCTTCTTTACATTGGTTGGTTGTGTAAAACTCTTTGAACTATATTATACGGTGATACTAACTCTAACATTATCGGGAGATAGGTTAATTTTGCAGGAACTATACTGATTTGGTAATTCACAGTGTTTTTCTATGATGGGCTTTGTATAAGTTTAATTTTTGCTTGTATACATTTGTTGGTTGTGTAAAACTCTTTGAACTATATTATATGGTGATACTAACTCTAACATTATCGGGAGATAGGTTAATTTTGCAGGAACTATACTGATTTGGTAATTCACCGTGTTTTTCTATGATGGGCTTTGTATAAGTTTAATTTTTGCTTGTATACATTTGTTGGTTGTGTAAAACTCTTTGAACTATATTATACTGTGATATTACGGTGATATTGGTTAATTTTGCACTATAATCATACTGATTTAGTTAATTCACTACGTTTTAATATATGTTGGGCTATGTATAATAAGATTCCAATCTATGTACTAGTATAATTACTATGAGATTGTAACGTAAGATTCCAATGCGATCCCGGATTATCATTAACAATACGAGTGTAACTGGAAATGAATGAAGATAAACTAGAATTCTAACTATTGGATCACGTTTAACTAAATAATAGAATTTGGCATAGATTCCAACCTATACTAGTATAATTACTACGAGATTGGAACGTAAGATTCCAATCAGAACCCCGATTATCATCAACAATACGAGTGTAACTGGAAATGAATGAAGATAAACTAGAATTCCAACTATTTGATCACCTTAAACTAAAGAATAGAATTTGACATAGATTCCAATCTATACTAGTATAATTACTATGAGATTGGAACGTAAGATTTCAATTAGAACCCCGATTATCATTAACAAAACGAGTGTAACTGGAAATGAATGAAGATAAACTAGAATTCCAACTATTGGATCACGTTTAACTAAAGAATAGAATTTGGCATAGATTCCAACATATACTAGTATAATTACTACGAGATTGGAACGTAAGATTCCAATCAGAACCCCGATTATCATTAACAATACGAGTGTAACTGGAAATGAATGAAGATAAACTAGAATTCCAACTATTGGATTCATATGTGTATTTTCTATTACAATATACATGATGTATGACTTACATGTAAATGTAAAAGTAATGTTAATACCCAATTTATACTTTTCAGTTTATTGGAATGGAAATGGAACCTGAAGTTGTTTCGGTAGAGATGGAATGTTTGGATGGTGGGAATGCTGGAAAAGAGGTGGATGGTGGAAATGGTCGAGAAGAAGTAGATGTTGGCAGTGGTCATGAAGAAACGGCTGGTGGCAATGGTCAAGAAGAGATGGAAGCTACTGATTGTAGAAATAGCAGAAGTGTGGGTGGGAAAAGCCGTAGGGCAAAGCACAAGTGCCCATTCACTGCTTGCAATGCCAGTGTCATCCACCTTCCCAGGCACATGAAGCAGGTGCATGGGTGGAACAAAAATGACTCGGCTGCTGTTCTGGGAACATTTGACTTGCGAAATGGTAAACCATTGGTAAAGAAAAGAGAACACCCAAGAAAAGTATGCCCCAAACATAAATGTGGTGCCATCGTTAGGCGGATACATAACCATCTTGCCCAGGTACACAAAATGAAAAGAGGAAGTAACGAATACTTGAAGTTGGTGAAGAAGGCTGAGAACTATTTACCTCCTGTTATTGACATCAGTTCCTCGGACCAATCTTCAGTGGACAGCGATGGCCTTGATCAGCCAGGAACCTTGCAGAAGATGAAAAAGCCAAGCTCATCAAGAAAGGTTTACCAATCTGTGTATGACAGTGAGGATTCTGAAGACTATAATAGTTTCTTGAGTTCTGTTGTTAAGAGTGGTGACAAGAGAAGTGATAGAGATGGTGATGACAGGGGTCATGACGAGGGTGAGTGTGGTGGTGATGTTGATGGGGACAGTGGTGATGAAGACGGTAATGGTGGTTTTAGTGGTAATTGCAGTTATAATGCTTTTAGTGGAGGCAATAAGAAGGGTAATTGTGAGGATGTTGAAGATTATGTGGGTGGAGATATTGAGAAGAGGGATGATGATAATGATGGTGATAATTATGGTGAATGTAGTGGTGATAGAGTTGATTGTGATATTGGTGGCAAGTGTGGGAATGTTAGAAATGAAGGCAATGATGATGGTGGTGATAAAGGTGGTGATGTTGAAAATATTGGAAATGATGGTGATGGTGATCATGATGTTGATAGGGATGTTGGAAATGATGATGGTAGTTACATTGATGGTGACAGTGGTAACTCCAGTGGCCAGGTTTCATCAATTAGTATCGATGACAAAGTGACATTAAGCAACTTCAAAGATTGGTTGGGGGGTCCAGATGGTGGCCGTAAAGATGAAAAATGTGCAAGACAGTGTATGCGACAGGTGGAAATGGTTATGAAGTTCATCACCCCAAATGCTCCGTCAATATCAAGCCTATTGTCCAAGTCATTGCTTAGAGATAAATGGCTAAGAATCATTGAAGAAGAGAAGAAACCTGGTACTGTGAAATCATATCTTGGGTCCCTTAACCAATTCTTTATTTACATGCGTACAGAATGTTCAGCCAGATTTGATGAGATGAATGTAAATGAGGGAAAACTTGTTAGTCTATCTGAACAGGTCAAGTTATGGGCCAGGTCTTCTCGGAAGATGGCCCAAAATCGTTTTTGGGAAAAACGTGTAGAGGATTTTGAAACCTTAAAGACGCCAGAAGAGGTAAAGCAGTTTGACATTTCAGAGGTTGCACGGAAGGCAGTTAAAGTACTTGGGGAATTCCAGACAGATCCCGATGTCTCTGTGGTATCACAGGCAGAATACACCATTGTGCGAGACTACCTCATGACTCTGATTTGTATTAACAATGGCAGCAGATCGGGTCCAATTGCCAACATGACCATGGAGGAATTTCAAAATGCCACACAGCAAGATGACTGCTATGTTGTTAGGGTGAAGAAGCACAAGACGTTTACCACCCATGGGCCAGCACACCTCGTCTTGTCGTCGTCGATTCATAATTATATGAAAGTGTTCATTGAAAAATTACGGAGATGTATACCAGATGTCAATGCATGCCAACCCATAGTTTTTTTGAGTTACAGAGGCACCCCACTAGATTCATCCCAAGTTGGTGCCCAAATTGGCTCATGTTGGGGCAAGGTGTTTGGGAAAAAAGCATCTATGGGTGGTGCAACTTCATTCAGAAAGGCTGCGGTTTCTGCCGTTCATGAGTGCAATGAAGAAATGCGAGGTGACTTAGCAGATCTCATGGTACATAACAAGACAACGGCGGACAAATATTACCTGCTAAAGAATAAGGGAAAGTCTGCAGTAAAAACATCCAAAGAACTGTCACGCATTATGCGTGATGGCTCTGAGAAGACAGAATCCAGTGATGGTGTGGAGAAAGAAGAGAATAAAGATCAGGAACCACCCGAGAAAGACGCTGCCACATCAAGCGTGGTCAGTTGTCCCAGGCACAAGTGGTCAAGTGAGGAAACAGACTTATTAAAACAACTTTTTGCTACCCAAATCCAGATGAAAAAGGTATCGATGGAAGACATTCGGGAGCTTTGCAAGGGTCAGCAATTCCTTGAGAAAATTCCTCCTTCCAAGATAAGAGATAAAGTCCGAACCTTATTTAAGTTGGGCGAATCGTCCCTCCCGCCACAAGAGAAGGAGTCTACAGAGGAGAAACTCAAACGTTTTGGCATGCCAATTGCTAGTGGTAAGTTTTTGTTAGTCTTTATATCACATATTGTATTCAATACTGTGCGAGAATATTTTCCTTGACATTTAATTTTCAAACAACAGGTCACAATATTTACACCTTTTCTTTGGTGTTATGGTGGAGATTTCAGCGAAGAACTTTGATTTTGTTTATAACTTACCTTAGTTACCTTTTCTCATGCACAAATATGGACCAGTGTTACTAGCCATATACGTTGTTGCTGTCGTTTAACTATTATAAAGCTTTTTCTTCCATACACGCATAATAAAACACCTATTGGATCCATATTCGTCCATATTCGACATTTCCCCGGTGTTTTAGAAAGAATTACCCGTCCATTTTTTCGTTCTTTCATTCAATTTAAAATGGCATTGCACCCTGGACGATCACATTGCATTACATTAACATTGTATTACAATCAATTGTATTTTGTGTAGAAAATTAGTATGATTAATAATATGATTGCCCAAGTTGACATTTCTTATTGAAATATAGCTTGCAAAGAGAAAGGCAGCAAAGATACGAAAGAGAGACCCTCCGAGGACAATGAGGAGGAGGAAAGCAGAGAAGATGGTGAAGAGGAGAGCAGCCAGTACTCACGTCCATCATCATCATCCGATGTAGTTCCTCCATCGTCACGTTCCAGAGGTGGACAAGATCGCTTGTTCAGTGATATGGAAATGGTGGAGTTTAGAAAGTTATTCTCTGCAGTCATTCATTCGGACAAGCCAATCACCACCAAAGTTGCTGTGTCGATGTTGAAGAAGAATAAAGTTTGAAGCACCTTACAAAGAGATTTACCAACCAGCAAATATACGACAAGCTGAGGACGGAGAGGAAAATTGCGAAGAGAGAAAACAAAAAAAATGAAGATATGGACTCTCGTATTGGTGACTAACTGACACATTTGTCTTTTAGGATGTTTATAATAATAGACTTACGCCTGTATTCTAAAAGCTCACTCACACTCAAACTCATTGAGTGGAAGATCTTAATCTTCTCATAACGTTTCAATGGCGGTATTTTCAGCCGAACAGGGGCTTGATTTTCAGTGATTTATCTTATATCTTTTCATCTATTCAGAGAGAACTTTCTCATTGATCAGCATTAACGAAATTTATATGTCACACTCGATGAGTATGAGTGTGAGTGAGCTTTTTGAATACAGGCGTTACAGTACAAAACAACGCTAACTCCAAAAATCAGCATTTTAGGGGCTGTTTACATGAGCCCGGTTACCCGAGATTCAACGAAGCGTGAGAGGACTTTGAGGTATTGAAATAAGTCTTTATGACACCAAACAAGGACATGCCATTGTTGTGGTGATTATACGACTACCAGGATCATGTTATCTGCTCATTTCAATACCTCTAAATCATCTCACGCTTCGTTGAATCTCGGGTAACCGGGCTCATGTAAACAGCCCTTTAATTGTACAAGCTCTCGACTGTGCTTATATAGTTGAAAGCTTGAACAATTAAACTGACTGTCGGAGTTACCGTTGCTTTATATTTCTTAAGATACTGATATATTCAGAACTGTAGATTTATATATCATAGAATTTTATGCAATTTTCTATCATACAAAGTGTCCAAGAAAAAACGAAAACTACCGAAATTAACTATTGTTAGAATTTGAATGAGAATACTTAGGGCTGCTTTCCAGTTACGCGTTTTTTATATGCACGTACACGCACGGAAAATTTGAAGTGCTTCTAATATTTAACATCCCGGTCTACAAGTGCATACTAAAATATGCGGAAAACTAAGTTCTTTCGATTTATTTACTTAGTTTTTACCTAGTTTTTTCAAAGATAACATATATAAGGATTTAGACATTTCCGTGCGTGTACGTGCATATGAAAAACGCCTAACTGGAAAGCAGCCTTTAGCTAATCACACATGCGTAAAATATCGGCACAGTCATATTTTCTTATTAAGAAATCGAATTATTTCAATAGTTTTTGTTTTTCCTGCATGGGCACGCTTTTTGAATGGTATCTTCCAATTTTTCTCACCATTTTGGGGTACTTTCATTTTTCCAAAATGTGTGTAAACAATTATAACAATGTGAAAGCAATTTTACTAATGATTTACAGAGAAATTTATATATAATATTTATATATATATATATATATATATATATATATATATATAAATTTTCTCTGTAAATCATTAGTAAAATTCATTAGTAAAATTGCTTTTCACATTGTTATAATTGTATATATATATTATATATATATTATTATTATATATTATATTTATATTTATATATATATATATATATATATATATATATATATATATTATTATATATATATTATATAATATATATATATATTATATATATATATATATTATATATATATATACAAACCCATTTGCAAAAACGTTGGCCGCAGATAGATAGATAGATAGATACTCGATACTCTAATTAGAATTGCATATGATTACATTAGCATGGGATTTCAATCATATTACACAACATATGCAATTCTAATTAGATTTCGGGTATCTATCTATATATCTATCTGCGGCCAACGTTTTTGCAAACGGGTGTATATATATATATTATATATATATATATATATATATATGTATATATATATATATATATATATATAATATATATATATATATATATATATATATATATATATATATATATATATATATATATATATAGATATTCGCCGTTACGTTACATTCGCTGTTCATTAAATGTTATGTTTGTAGTTAAAAAATACCTAGGTTACACTAGGGCACAGGCAAGTTACACTAGGGCACAGGCAAGTTACACTAGGGCACAGCCAGGTTACATGCACTAGGGCACAGGCAAGTTACACTAGGGCACTGCCAGGTTACACTAGGGCACGGACAAGTTACACTAGGACACAGCCAGGTTAGATGCACTAGGGCACAGGCAAGTTACACTAGGGCACAGCTAAGTATGGTATAAGTTTTTGTTAATTTCAAAAGCAATTAAATTCTCTCTTGAGCAATTTATATATATGAATACATTTTCATGGGATTTCAATCATATTACACAACATATGCAATTCTAATTAGATTTCGGGTATCTATCTATCTGCGGCCAACGTTTTTGCAAACGGGTGTATGTATATATATATTATATATATATATATTATATATATATATATATATATATATATATATATATATATATATATATTTATATTCGCTATTACGTCATCTTAATGCTAACCCTGAAAATCAATTCTTTAATTCTTCAAACTTTGGACTATAGTATATAGTTGAAAGCTTGAACAATTAAAATGTTGATGTTAAGAGATATCATTATGTGTATGTTATCAAAATACTGAGTAGTTCCGGCAATTTCAGGCTGACAATTTAGAGTGTTAGAAAGGCTAAATCATTGAAAAAATATTTGTTAATATCCACATCACAGCTAGAAAACCTGAATTGCAGTTGATATTAAACATTATAAATATGGGATAGGCTGAATAGAAAAGGATTTCCATTATTAATTGGGCCAGCACGGCTATGTTGGAGGTAGCTGAAATTAGGAAATTATTAGATTCTCTGATTAACCTGTGTCTTGCTTGATTCATATTTTGACTCTCAAGATGTCCTGTTTATTCAGATATTTTACTTTGAGAACTATCAGACCAAGGTCTTTTTGAACAAATTGAGTTTGAAGAGCGAAGTTAGTGCAAAAGATCGACCGAGCAAGCAAGGTTAATGAAAAATTTATAATATGGCACAAGGGCATGTATATTTGCGCTTGAAACAAACAAGAAATGCATGGTTTACCAACTGTCTGGAGAAATTTTGTTAATTTCAACAGCAAATATTAAATTCTCTCTTGAGCATTTATTTGGGCCCTTTTTAATCAGAATTTCTCAGTTTTTCACTTTTGATGGATCTCCAGTAACGCAGGTCCATTACGGGAAAGTGCCGGTCCATTACAGAGTTGTACTTTACTGGGGTAACAATTTTTTGAATTTTTTGAATTGGTAACAATTTTTGGAATTTTTGACTGGGGTTTACAATTTTTTGAATAACAACCCCTTACCCCTGACAAGTTACTCAACTGACAAGTTTCCTTGTTTAAGGACAAGAACACCAGGATCATACCCATATGGTACTCTTGACATTTATGAAACATTCATTAGGCCAAACACTTTAGCAAAAATGCAGACTACAGTCACTACAGTGCAGCAAATTGCGCATGACAACAAACTACAGTTTCTTGTACATCCAACAGCAATTTCAGTAAAATTGTTTAGTGCAATATGATGTTCATTAAATGTTTGTAGTTAAAAAATACCTAGGTTACACTAGGGCACAGGCAAGTTACACTAGGGCACAGCCAGGTTACACTACTATAGGGCACAGGCAAGTTACACTAGGGCACACGCAAGTTACACTAGGGCACAGGCAAGTTACACTAGGGCACAGGCAAGTTACACTAGGGCACAGCAAGGTTACACTACTATAGGGCTCAGGCAAGTTACACTAGGGCACAGGCAAGTTACACTAGGGCACAGCCAGGTTACACTACTATAGGGCACAGGCAAGTTACACTAGGGCACAGCTAAGTAAGGTATATGTTTTTGTTGATTTCAAAAGCAATTAAATTCTCTCTTGAGCATTTATTTGGGCCCTTTTTAATCAGAATAACTCAGTTTTTCACTTTTGATGGATCTCCAGTAACGCAGGTCCATTACGGGAAAGTGCCGGTCCATTACAGAGTTGTACTTTACTGGGGTTGTACAATTTTTTGAATAACAACCCCTTACCCCTGACAAGTTACTCAACTGACAAGTTTCCTTGTTTAAGGACAAGAACACCAGGATCATACCCATATGGTACTCTTGACATTTATGAAACATTCATTAGGCCAAACACTTTAGCAAAAATGCAGACTACAGTCACTACAGTGCAGCAAATTGCGCATGACAACAAACTATAGTTTCTTGTACATCCAACAGCAATTTCAGTAAAATTGTTTAGTGCAATATGATGTTCATTAAATGTTTGTAGTTAAAAAATACCTAGGTTACACTAGGGCACAGGCAAGTTACACTAGGGCACAGCCTGGTTACACTACTATAGGGCACAGGCAAGTTACACTAGGGCACACGCAAGTTACACTAGGGCACAGGCAAGTTACACTAGGGCACAGGCAAGTTACACTAGGGCACAGCCAGGTTACACTACTATAGGGCACAGGCAACAAGTTACACTAGGGCACAGCCAGGTTACACTACTATAGGGCACAGGCAAGTTACACTAGGGCACAGCTAAGTAAGGTATATGTTTTTGTTAATTTCAAAAGCAATTAAATTCTCTCTTGAGCATTTATTTGGGCCCTTTTTAATCAGAATTTCTCAGTTTTTCACTTGTGATGGATTTCCAGTAACGCAGATCCATTACGGGAAAGTGCTGGTCCATTACAGAGTTGTACTTTACTGAAGTTGTACTTTCCTGGGGTTGTACAATTTTTTGAATAACAACCCCTTACCCCTGATATGAACAATGCTAAATTTAGTATTGTACTCTGACCAAAAATTGGAAAGTAAATCCAATCACAGAGACAGAGTAAAATGTATGTACACTGTATCTCTGATTGTTCAACATACATTACTTTGTAAGAGAATTAGAGAAATAGTATTAGCCAAGAGTCAGCATTTAGCAGCAACAAAAGATTGCCCATTTTGCAGATTGCCCATTGAAGCAAAGGATAAAGAGCTGATTTTCATCCATGGAGCTCTAATAAAAAGTTATTTAGTCAG